TTCAGGGTAGAATGTGGGCAGCGTATGGTTCCCCGCAATACGTCGATACTTAGTCCCCCTAAACCCTAAACCTCCAGTTACCTCTGAACTTTTTGCAGTGCGTTTCTTGTGCTTGTTTGCTCTGAGCAGATACAGCCCTAAAGGGTCCAAGTGCTTTAAACAGGGTGTACGGTTAGGGTTTAGAGTTAAGTAGCATATGAGCCATAGTCTAAATTCCTTGTATCCCCCTCAATAACCCCTACAGTAGTCCCCTACATCCCAATATAACGACCTTCAAGGAGTTTAGACTGTAGAGCGTATAGTTTCGGGTTTGAGACTTAGGTGTAAGGGCTTAGGGTCCCAGTACCAAAATAGTTGATAACCCAGGCTTGAGTAGCCCATAAAGTAAAGGAGCTCATTTGAGTCCAAATTGTGTGCAAAACCTACAAGGAAAGCATTCATGATTAGGGGAGTGGGGGGTTTCGGGGGAGGTAATTACAAGCAACCACGAGAATGTGGCCAGAATCTAATAGCAAGAGCATTTCTGAAGTGAGTTGGGCCTTCGAATCTATACTCCGAAAAATCAATCTGCAGTCTTTGTTCTACCGTAAACCGTAAGCCCCAAAAGAGGCTAAAAGGTGAAGACATCATTCGAAGAAGAGCGTCAAGGTTGTTACCTAAGAAATAAAAACATCGGGCTTGGACGGGCCCAGATACAGATAGAGTTTAGGGTTTAGGGGGATTTAGGGTTTGGGAGGATTCCCTGCCCCTTGATAATGAAACCCCCACCCCGTCATGCAATCGACATCCGATTGTGGAGCACGTGCTTCCTATCTAGCCGATGATGACGGTCGCCGCAAAACAATGCAGGGAGAAGGTTGCTGATGAGATACAGCGAGTCCCACCGATAGAAAGGAATGATGCTCCGCCCCTTCAATGTGAAACCTTACGGGTCCAAGTATGCTTCCTCAAAACCTATGCCAGAGCTATTGTTAGCCAAGGTTTTTCCATTGTCTGTCCAACTCCCCTATAATTCCTATAAAAATCCTCATATCACCCTAAACCCTACTGTGGCGATAATGTTGCTCACGTGAGCCAAGGACTCCAACCCCAACAGCCTGAACCTTTGCTACTCCTGTCTTACTAAAAGGAAATTGGTAGCTCCCAAAATTAGCATCGCATTCTAGTACGCCTAAATATTAGATGCCGTAGTAGAATCTAACCACAAGGGGCCAAACAAACTTTGAGAACAACTCCTATATAATCTCACGTAGTTTAACAACCAAAAACACTTTCCTATACGGCCCAAACTAGGTCTATTCATGTAGAGGCACTTCATGGCGGGTTCCAAAAAAAGGGGGCCCGATATAGACTCTTATCTACTGTTTAGCGAACTCTTTAAAGGAACTCCCCAAAAAGGGGCACCTAATGTTTGGCTACCCCAATATACAGCCTTTAAATCTTCAATCCCCAAGCCTGAACCCTCAATCGGTTCAGGGGTTTAGGGTTTAGGTTCAGGCGTTTAGGGTTTGGAATTTAGGGACCTAGGAACCAGGTGGAGATTGGTTGCTTTGGGAACAAATTACATATTTCCGCTTGTTTGGGTTCCCAGACTCTAGACCCTAAACCGCAGACCTTAAGGTCATCATCGTGGGTTTCACGGAGGCATCACTAGACGGCCGTACATGGGCCGGAGGCCATGACGTCTATGTCATGATGCCTGGCAGCAATGATAGCAGGTGTTGGGTGCATACGAGCAACGTAAAGCTGTAAATCAAGTTAATCCAGTTATGCTCCTAAGTAAGGTCCCCCATGCTGGTCACCCCCGGGAGTGAACCAGAGGTATAAGTAGGTTATGAGTACTCATGGTCCTTCAAGCAAAACTTACATTCCAGGGTCTGTGATTTGGGATTTGCGTTGTCCCAAAGGGCTCAAGTGCACTCAGGGTTCATAGGGCTTTCAATGGCTTCTTTTGGAGCTCAAATCTACATTTGGCGACATAAATCCGTTGGGTCACTGTCCGTGACATCAGCATATTAAATCCACAAACCCAAAACCAGTTGAAATACTACGTACCCAGACCGCATACATAATCCCAGTTTCCATTTTTGCCATTTGATAATCGATGTTTAGTAAAATCCTTTAACACTAAACCGCACCTAGAGGTTATATGACTCTACATTTGGGGCTATGGGATGGGTTTGGTGTTCCATCGCCAGGTTGCAGACCTTTCGTCGCCCCACAGAGTTGTCTGTCACGCGGTTCTGGGTTTAGGGTTCCTGGCTTAGGGTCCTGGTCTGTGTCGGATGAGGGCGAAGGTCCTTTCTCCGGGTAAGGTAGCGGGGGAATTTGTTTAAAGTAGGATATGCGGTCTAGGTAGCATGATTCAATTGCAATCCTTCCTACAAACTCCTTAGGGCCAGACTGCTCTCAGCGGAAAAATCTTGGCCCTTGGGGGCAAATCGGGCCTCTGCACAACAAGCAACTAACGCAGATATGTTGGGCTTAGGGCGTATTAGGGCTGATTAGAGTTTAGGAAATGTGCGAAATTCCTAAGTCCTAGCATCAAATCCTCCCATGCTACAGCAGTGATTGTATAGGTATATTATGCATGTTGGTATCAGTTCTAATCTTAATCCGCCACAAGTCCACTCTGTCAAGAAGCAGTATTTACAGCTACGTGTATGGGTCCAGGTGCCCAAAAATGGAATACTCGGGGTTTGGGTAATCCAACTTGTAGTATAGGTTGGGTGATGCGTATGAACAGGAAAGCCTAGATAGACCCTAAGCTTGTTCATACTGAGTGCTGGGACCCTTGGGGGCGCTTGTGTCTTGTGGGAAGTTGGGAGGACGAGGTCATGCAGAGTATAGAAGAGCAGTCACGTTTTTTGAATGGTTTTTGGTGAGTGTATATCGGGGGCCCCGTGCACATTGGTGAGTTCATACATTGGGTGCGCGATTGCGAGGACTACAAATAAAGACCATGGAGAGAAAGATACATACAGGGCAGGATTCAAAGGGATACACAGGGATTGGGGTCAGGCTGTTGGGTTTAAGGTTTCGGTGTTCGAGATAGAGCGTTGAGGGTGGATATTGTCCAGGCATTGTACCCTCAATCCTGTACTTGCAGACGTGTGTGCATTTTGCGAAATATTCCCCCTAGATGACACACCCAAAAAAATCTCCTTCTTAGAACCCTCCAAACTCTGGAGTGTCCCTAAACATATTTCTGTTTGAGTTCCCAGGGTATAAGAAAAAGGGCTTAGGGGAAGCCCTCATGTGAGGAGTTTCGACAGCAATGGAGTGTGGCAGTGGACGGCTCAGCGAGGGACATTCTATGAGGCCGACATGCGTCGTCTACAGCTGTTCAATCAAGTTTCAGCGTACAGCGGTCCAGTTTATCGGGGTCTTAGGGTCTAGGGCTTTTAGGGTCCAGGGTTTCGGGTTTAGGGTTTTCAGGGTTTAGGCTTTAGGGTTTAGGGTTTTCAGGGTTTAGTGTTGAGGGATTTAGGGTTTAGGCTTGAAGGCTTAGGGTGTAGCATAGATTCCTGCACGGCAGGATTTTTTGCCTTTGTTTCACCCCCTTCATGATCTATTTCGCGTGTTACCGCAAAGGAGTAGGTTGCCTGTCCTACTGGATGTCACGAAGATCTGGGACTTGGTGTTGAGGTGTGAGAATAGAAGAGCAATAGGTTTAGCGTACAGGTTGATCAGTGCCAGACATTGCAAGTCGGACGCTAAACTCTAAACCAAAAACCAGTATAAAATCGAAGTCTACATAATATGGTAGCTTCCATTTTCCATTCCATACCATGAGGTATATATCTCAGCTTCCAAGTACAGTATGGGCCCTTCATACGCTATAGGTACTCTTGAGCGCCTTTAGAACCTTCCAAAACACGGATAAGGGCCCACACTAGTGGACCCCTAATGCCTCTTTAGCCAGAAGCCCTGAACCCTATGCTTCCTAAATTCTACACATACGCACATATACATATATATATATATATATGGCTTATAGTACAAACCCATTGCTGGGTACCTGACGCCTAGGTTAGGCTTAACAGGCCATTGGTTCCGTCTGCCAGGTTCGGAGTTGAACGGGTTTAGGGTGCATAGGGTGTATAGGGCTTACAGGGTTTAGGGTTTACGGTTTACAGGGTTTAGAGGTTCAGAAGGTTCAGTGTCTGGGTTTTAGGTTTAGGCGGTTCAGGGTTTGTAGGGTTTAGGGTTTGGGCTCAGCTCCTGCCTCATCGGTCCGCATATCTCAAACAGAAGAGCATCAGACCCAAATGGGCATTACGTACCCCACAGAACCCTGAACCGAACTCCGAACCTGAACTCAGGACTGAACTCGGCGCCCTGACCCGAACCCGTAACCGAACTCCGAACCTGAACTCCAGACTGAACTCGGGACCCGAACCCTGAACCGAACCCCGAACCTGAACTCCCGACTGAACTCG